ACCGCGAATGGGTGGAAGAAGGGGATATTCGGGCCCCTTATCACGTTCGGGCGTTTCACAAGATGTTCCCGGACAAACCTGGTGGTCTCCCGGGGAAACCGGGAGGTCTCCCGCCCAGACCGGGAGACGGTGGGTAAGTGGTATTTTTGTGTTATTCTCTTCTGGTATGCTTCTGTAACTGCCAAGTTTCTTCTGCAGGTGGAGGACGGAGTGTTATGTCTTGCTGCCTAGCCTAATTAGATTTCCCGTGTGAACTCAACTTGTGTTTATGAAATTAGCTGTTGTGGTTCTCAGGCTACTTCGCGCCTTTTCTAATCAGCTCCCTTACGAGGGAAATTGAGTGTTATGTCTTTGCTGCCTAGCCTAATTAGATTTCCCGTGTGAACTCAACTTGTGTTTATGAAATTAGCTGTTGTGGTTCTCAGGCTACTTCGCGCCTTTTCTAATCAGCTCCCTTACGAGGGAAATGTACCCATTGGGTTAACCAAGTTTGAAGTTCCTATAATACTTTGCCCCTGTGTATTGTCGTTATTCTGAACAATCTCTGTATGTTCATGATCAACCATGCTTTGGAAATAAATCTTACTTCTTTGGAACGTGGGTTTGTTATCCTGACTTGGGATCTGACAATTACCTCAATTCATACTAGCATTACTGTGAGTGCAAGTCCTTGCACCTGTGAAGTATGATTTCCTTGCTTTCCACCTCCTATAGCAGCCTAATATGCCTCCCATCTGGTTCCTTGGGGAAGGCAGGCCCTGGAATGGGGTTTCAGGGGGATATTGGGCTGCTGCAGGAAGGGGGAAGCAGGAAATACATCATGTGCAAATAAGGACTTGTCCCCATGGAACTGCTAGTGTGAATGCAAGCCATTGACTTGTAGCATCACAAACAGATTTTGTTTCATAACATTTTGCTACCTTTAATATACATTGAACTTTGACATAAGGTGGTGAATATACTCCAACATAACTTTTCTATGTTTTTTCATACTTCTGCATGAAGGTATCCCAGTACTTCACAATTTTCAGTTTTACATCCTTATTATTATATGAATTCTGCATTTTATTTGTGAATATTTCCCCCCATTCTGTTTCTCCATAGTACAGTATTGAAGGATTTGATTAGGCAGAATACAGTTGTGGGTTTTTTCTTATATTTGAAAAGTGAATTAATACTAGGAGTAAAATCTTCAGTTTAAGTCCTTTTAAATTCTAAAACAAAACTTAATTTTTTTCTTACAGAATGAACCAAACCAAGGGTAAAGTAGTATAAGTAATTTTGCTTACACTGTTCTCCCAGTTTAAGAGGCTCAGAAAGTGGTCTCTGACATCAACTGCAGAACACTTGCTGCAAGACTATCAGAATTGGTGAGAGCAGACACATCTTGCTTAAGTGCACCAAGTATTATAGCCAGATTTTCCAGACTGTTTAGTACAACCCATGTTTCATTGTCAATGATGAAGCTGCTGTGTGCTAAATTTGTATGCAAAAGATCTGAGAACACCTAGCCTCTTGAAGATAGGAAACAATAATGCAGATCAAAATCTAAAGCATCTATTGCTTGTTTTTTTATAATGTTCTGTGTTTTGTTAATGAATCAGATTTGTCACTCATGTTAACAATATGTTTACAGCACTAAACCTTTCACAATACCAATTAGGCAAAAATAGATACTAGTCACCAGAAACACTGCATTTGTCCTGTTGTCTTCAGTATAGAAATATACAGCTACGGGGAGTGAGCATAACACACATGTAAGTTCTGACCTTTGTTTGCTTAGAATTCTGGTTTGATGGCAACCTCACAGCAATGCCAAGGGCAGAGGATCTCCGGGATACAATCTTTGTTATCCACTGCATTGTTTTTATTAGAGCTGTGTTAAAGATATTTATCTTCATCTTTCAAGACACTAGGAAAAGAAGGATGATTATGTGGTATGTCTTTTTTGAAAACAATAGAGTTGTATACTTTGTAATTCCAGAATTGTTTCTGTATAAACTTGATTGTAGTGCACATGTGAGGCTCTGAGCTTAATCCTTGGCAACTCCAGTTAAGGGGACTTGCATTTGGGAAGGTCTTCACCCCATCTTCCAGAAGTCTTCATTCAAGGTCTTTCTAGGGTTTACAGTACTGTGATATATTTGTTTCACCTGCTAAGGTAGACTAACATACCCAGATTTTCTAAAGATGGAATGGTAAAAAAAGAATGAATTACTTTCCTTATTTTTAAATGTATGTTGCTTTTTTAAACTTAAGTTTGAATTTTGCATGGGATATTGCCTAGACCTTATCTAAGCACTTGCAGGGTCTCAGATTGTTTGAAACTGTACTGATGTAGCTTCCTCAGGAGGCACAGGCTGAAGTCCAGCAGGGCAGGCCACAGGCAAGATTGTTAAGAGTAACCAAAGTCCAGCCCAAAAGTCAGAGGTTCCAGAGAGCAGGTTTACCAAAGTCCAGTCTAGGGTCAAGAAGTTCCAGACAGCAAGTCCAGGCTGAGGTCAGGGGTTCCAGAAAAGCTGGTTGTCAGGTCCAGTTCAAGGTGTACTTGTTGCATCCACAAACAGCTTGTTCTCCCAGCTGAATTATAGCCAAGTCTTAATGAGCTAAACTCCCAGCCAATTCCTTGGCAGTCATCCTGAAACTACTTATTCATCTCTTCAGTTGACAGCTGACAATAGGCCATGAGTCTCACACTTCTTCTCCTTTCTTGCAACTCTAAGCATCTCTGACAGCGTCAGCGCTGCAAGGGTGTGGGTGAGCTAGGTGGGTTGGGAGTGGCTGCTTAAGACTTGTTTACTGCTTCAGAGCTAGGAAGTGTTGGCTCAGTGTCAGCTGTAGGCTGTGACACCTGATCAACAGGTAACCTGATCTCTTGTTGTTCTCCTTCTGGCTCAAAGCCATCTGTAGCCAGCTGTTCAATTACCATCTCAGGGCTAGCAAGTAGATCTTCCTCTGAGAAATCTGAGCCATAACTGAGCACCAACTGACTTACAACAGAAACTCAACCTAAAAATTCAGCCCTTTGGTTTTATGAAATAAAGAACTGGTCTTGATTTCAAGGGAGATGAATGTCCAGCACAATTTGGAAATCAGGCTTCCAAATTTAGGCTAGACTTTAGCTCAAGTACCACAGGTATTTTAGAGTTACAAGATCTACCATGTTTGATGCAGCACAGTGGCAATGAAGTTGACTGATATTTCTTTTCAAAGTACACTGCTGTTGCTCAAATTGGACAAGGCTACTTGCAAAAGGCAGATCAGGGTAGCAGTTTATAAAACTGGAAGGTAAAAACCTGTACCTGTAAGATAATGGGATGTGTATTAATTGACAATGTATACAGCAGGCGTAATTTATCCCGATCTGAGAAATGGTCCATGAAGATGCTCCCAGCATCTGTCACTTCAGCATATCGTCGCACAATTCGGTCCAGCAGCCTTTGTGATGGGCAGCGAAGCAATGGTGTAGGAAGGCCCTAAAAAGAAAAGGGGGAGAGAGAGAAATATTTTTTTTTCTTTATGCAAGTAATGTGCAGGTCTGATAGAATAGGCCTGCATTACATATGCCAATTTACTTTTAAAAAATTATTTATTTAAAACATTTTCCTGCCACCTTTCTACCCGATTGGGATCTCCAAGGCGGTGGACAAAAAAAAACCCCATTAAAATATTTCAACAATTAAAAACAACACATAGAGTTATAAAATAATTAAATAAAAACACATAACACCAGAGCCAGGGAGGAAAGCCAGTAATAGGGAAGACTTCACCTGTTGGCAGAAGAGACTAGTAGAGGGAGACAGATGAATCTCCTTAGGGAGAGAATTCCAAAGGTTTGGTGTCATAACTAAGAAAGCCCTTTCTTGCGTTGCCCCTCGTCTAGCCTCAGATGGCCAAGGTGACTGAAGCAGGGCCACTGAAGATGACTGGAGTGAACAAGTAGGTTCATATGGGAAAAGGCAGTCCTTAAGGTATGTTGGTCCCAGGTGTACAGGGCTTTAAAGGTCAGTTACCAGCACCTTGAATTGAGTGTGGAAGCAAACTGGAAGCCTATCAAGATGGAACAAGACTGGAGTGACCCATGTTTAGGACCTGATCGTGTAAATGAGCCCTGCAACATGAATGCAACAGAGCATGCAGGTGCAGGATGAAAGACAAGGAATTTGATCATGCTGCTTCTTATTACAGGAGAAAAAGGACTTGCCAACACATGTATGCATTTTAAACACTAATTTACACGTTTGTTATTGAGAGCAGATGAGATTTGATCAGAGCCAGTTCCAAATATTGGCAAGCCTGGGTATATCTTGGGGCATCAAGAATGGGCCCAGCCATACCAATACCACTGTTCTTATACTGGACAGAGAACTGAGAAGGTATGGGGAAATATCAATTTTTAATACTCCACCTCTTCCATGTTAAGGAGACTTCCAAAAACCTGGAGCCAGCAACAGGTTCAATGGTCTGATAATATCTGTTTCAACATGTGAGAAAGAGATTCTAGAATAGAAAAGTGAGCTTCTCTCCTGGACATTTGAAATAAGTTTGTTTATTCCTGACATAATCTAATGTTTTATTGTAATAGGCTTCTGTCGATATACTTCTCTAGTTCTTAGCTAAACTGATTCTGGCTTCTGATAGAGTGTAAGTTTTGGAGAAGCAATCTCAAAGGTGATAGGTTTTAGCTATGAGGTCTTCCTTAGTTTCTAGTCCTCTAGCTATTAAAGTTGACAAGGTTATCTTGCAGTTTCAGGGGTAGCCATGTTGGTCTGCAGTAGAACAGCTAGACTTCCAAGTCCAGGAGCACCATGGAGACCTACCAAGAGTTTTGGCGAATAAGCTTTGAAGAGTCAAAGTTCTGACAAAGGGAGCTTTGACTCTCCAAAGCTTATATCCTGAAAATCTCGTAGGTCTTCATGGCACTACTGGACTCAAAGTCTAGGCTATATTGCAGGATTACTCAAGTATATGGGTGGCAAGTAAAGCCATCTCTGAGGACTCAGGCAAGCCATGTGGTGGTGGACAAATTTCAAAAATAATAACACTAAGATGACTGTATTCTTCAGGAAGTTACTATTTTCTGTCATATTTGCAGGATAGTCCTTCACCCGTAACATGTTTGAAGTTGCATTCCATTTTAAGACAAAGACAAAAATATACTTCACAATAGATTTTTTTAAAAAAATAACCCTCTCATTCAGGAAGCACAAAGCGAATGTTTTCAAAGGTTTCAGAGACTTTCCACCACAGAAATACAAGTGTTATACATTTTATCCTCTTTCAAAAAGCAGAACCAAAAGCACCTTTTACTTTTCCTAGCAGAAAACGTAAGTGGAATAAGAGTTAAATTTGGCAAATTCTGGCAGATTTGTGATTGGACCTTCCCAGCATAAAATGTGGCTGCCTGGAGACAGAAGAGGGGATTTAATACACAAACACAATTTTGCCGGTTGAAACTGTTCTCTCCATATTGCTATTAGTCCCAGAAGAGGGGGGAAACTTTATTTCAATGATAAGAACGGTATGGGGTAGGTGATCCCAATTGCTGAGAATGTACCTGGGACCTGGGTGAAATGTATTTTTTAAATCTCTGCTGTCTGCATAGCCCTGATCTACATAGGGGCTGTATGAGACTACAATTCAGTTTTCAAAAACAGGTAAGGTCCAGTCATGGATTTTCCAATGTCTCATGAGCCTACATAGAATTACACTGTAAGTCACCTCCTAACAAATTGCTAATTGACAGCTGTCGTTTATGGATCCTACCCTGTCCAGGATGATTTTATTTGTGTGGATGGAAAGAAAAGTTGAGGAGTAGTTCTCTGTGTGTTCATTGAGCACTGCTCCACATTTACTATTCATATGAAATATGTGGAGTTTAAATTGAGAACTGAGTGCATGATGGAATGGTCTGATGAATACTTTTATCATATGAAAATGTCTTATACTCTGTCAGGCAATTGGTGTATCGAGGTCATTATTGTCTACTCCTATTGACAGTGGCTCTTCAAGGTCTCAGCTGGAGTCTTTCACATCACCTATGACTTGATCCTTTCAATTGAAGTTTCCAGTGATTCAATTTAGAACCTTCTGCAGGCAAAATACATGTTCTGCCACTGAATCATGGTCCATCATCTTCTATGCATGGTAACAAAATCAAAAAGGTAAGTGGGAAAGAGGAAACAACCCCCTGAACTGGCTTTATGAAACTGGACAAGGTACCACTTTAGCAAGACTCACCCTAGGGATCTTCTGTTGGAAATTGACCATCAGCTAGTCCCAATGGCTAGTCAGCATCAGCTAGTCCCAATGGCAACAGCCTGTTTATTTTTATTTTATGGCCCAGAATTCATATTACTCTAGCAGTAAAGAAGAGGTCTGGAGGGCAGTTTCTATGCACAGTGGGTGGTGCTGGTTAGGAATGAGCATGAACTGGTTTATGAACTAAAGTTCATGATGAATTTTGGCTGGTTCATGGTAGGTCAACTGGCAGAAATTGTCCACAGACTTTCAAGCAGTTCATGGAGGTTTGTGCTGGTTCATGAATGGATACATTTTCAGAAAGGCTGTCTCCTCTCAGACTAAATGTTTACCAAATTTCAAAGCAAGGAGGGAGGGTGGAATTCTCCAGCCTTGGAAACACTGTTGTTAGCGTCAAACTAGTCATGTCAGTTTCAAGAGGGTCCCCTGGCCTTCCTTTGTGATCCTTTCTCATTTTCTTGAACACAGCTTGCAAATTCCCGACCCCTTGCTTGGATTTGTGACTCTGTGCTTTGTGGTCAGTCTTTTAAAGCTTGCAGTGCCAGTGGCACTGGGTTCTACTGGGCACTCTGTGATTTCACTGGTACTGCTGGGTACTCTGTACATTGTACTGGTTCTGCTGGGCTTGCAAAAATGCCCCCTTGCTTGGATTGTGATTAAACTGGCACTGCAACTTTGGCAATGGGTTCTGCTGGGCACTAGTACATTGCACTGGTTCTGCTGGGCTTCCAAACCTACCCCCTTGCTTGGAGTGTGATTCTGTGCTTGACATAAGTCCTGTTGAGCTGGCATTGCCATATTGGCATTGGGTTTTGCTGGGCACTAATACATTGCACTGGTTCTGTTGGGCTTGCAAAAATGTCCCCCTTGCTTGGATTGTGATTGAACTGGCATTGCAACATTGGCATTGGGTTCTGCTGGGTACTAGTACAGTGCACTGGTTGTGCTTGGCTCGCAACACACACATCCTTGCTTGGAGTATGATTCTGTGCTAGACATCAGTCTTGTTGAGCTGGCATTGCCACAAGGGCTCTGGGTTCTGCTGGGCACTAGTACATTGCACTGGTTCTGTTGTGCTTGCAAAACTGCCACCCATCTTCAGTTTCTACTGCAGAGGTTCTCTGGGACTTTGATTCTGTTCTGCTGAGCTTCTATTGCTCTTGCTTTTTTGCTGTTTCTTCTCTATAAATCCAATCCAATGGAGGAGGGGGCACCTTTTTTGGAGGACGTAACTCAGTCCCTGTAAATCCAATCCTCACCTAACTTGGAGGGCAGGTAGAGGAGAGTCAGCCAGAGTTTGGTGAGTTTGGTATCTCTAACATGCTGGCAGGGAGGGACATTCTACTATGTCACAAACCAAACCAGCTCATTTAGCTCTTAAAAGTTTGTGATGGTTCATGGCTCATGAACCAAACATGCCATGAACTGAAACAAACCTCATCTTCCCAGTTCGTGCTCATCCCTAGTGCTGGTTATTTGGTTTATTCATGGGTCTAAATGGCTTCCACTTTCATTATTTTTTATTTTAATTGCTGTTATTTGCCTTTCTAATGTTGGTGCTTTATTGACTGCTGACATACTGTTTTATTTGTATTGCATTAATTGTGCTGTAAATTTTGTGTGTTATTTTCATATCATAAGAATGTGTTAGAAATTTTCTTGAAAGAACAAATAAATGGGCTGGAATGAGGAACCCTAAGAAGCTCTTTCTCCCACATGAACCTTCCAGTGTCCTTAGATTATGTTCTGAGGCACTGTGTGGTTGTCACAGATCTTCTCAGTGGTGACATTTGCCTTCTGGAGCTTTCTCCCAAGAGAGAAACACCTGGTTGAAAACGTTTGTGTTAGAAAACCTTTCAGAGGTTTTTGTCTTTCATGGCTCATGTCACTGTGTTTATTCTGATATATATGATTTTTGTCTTCTTTCAGTTTTACTTAGCATTGATGTTTCAGAGAGTCATTATGGACTTATTATTTGCAATTTTATGGTACAAGGGAATGCTTGATACAAGAAAATTGCTAGTAAAATGAATAACATATGGTTCTATGGTCATTTGTATTCATGAGTGAAAGCTGAAGCAAATTTGGAAGCAAAATTCTAAGAAATAATGCTCCTAAATTTGTCAGCAAAATTTCAAATGTACGTTCTCCAGGAAATAGAAAGAAAAAAACTGTTGTTTTTACTGCTTGTGGCCTAAGATGACTGACTGTGATA